CTCAAAATTCAATCAGCTGATCTGTTTAAATGTAGGTCGTCAACATTGACTATTTACATATCTAATAGAGGGCGCTGATTCAAAAAATTCCAAAAGAAGGTGAAAAAATATCTGATTTATAATATCTGATTTATTTATTTCAGTATCACTGGGCTCATCTGTGTGAGACGACTATGCATCTTGGTGGAATTGTTGATTTCGGAATATTTATAACATAAATAATTAAGTATTTATGTACAATATTGTTTGATGTGTAAAAATCAAAATAATATTCTGCTAAAAGTTATAATATGTGATGTTCAGTTTAATAGATATGTAGGTGTGCACAAAGAATAAGCACTGTCAAAATATTTATACGTTATAACTGTTGAGGGAAACAATTGAAAGTATATCGTAATATGGCGAAAAATACTGCTTAATTGTTCATTATTTAGTTTTTTATTATTTCAATTTACTAATGATGTAATTTACAATGATTAAAAAATCTACAGTGAATAACTTAACTTTAAGTTTTTTTTGTAGAAATTTAAAATGTGAACTTATAACTTATAAACATACAGAATGTGGATAACGTAGGAGGTGGCAACATTGCATTCTCTCAAAGCGCTATAAACAAATTTCCGGAAACTGAACAAGCGGCACTCAAAAGTTTTTCAATATTTTACGGAAAATGTCAAGAAAACTATAAAATTTTCAACGTTTTTTTTTTCGCAAAAAAACCTCATGGCCGTGGATGAAAACCTACTTGGATGCTGTACTTAATGCTGCGCGCATCTCACTTGTATGCTGCCTGTCTAGTATTGAATATTATATCCAAGTCGAGATGGAAGGATTTTTAACATCAAAGTAAGTAGGCTGGCGAACTTTATGCTTGGTCCAAGCACATTTTAACCGTGTCAACCGGGCTTTAGGGATATGTGTGAACATTTGGCAACAATGTTCAGCAGGAGCAAAGCGATTTATCAAGCAGGCCGTCGCGTTGCTCTGTTGTTGCTACGTGAACCGTAGACGATCGGACACAGGAACTCTAAAAGACGGTCATTATCGAGATGTTTAGTGGGTTCCAAAATTACAGTTTTATATAAAAAAATATTTATAAATTAGATTCTTTACATATTATAAAATATGTTTATTGGTACCTTTAGTAATAAAAAATAATAAATATTTACTTAAAAACTTTCTTTGATCATCCTTTATCGAAAAAGTGGGTCATGTTCAAATCTGATCGAGCCAATCTATATTTTTGGGTCCAAAACTACGCCCTACGGTTCGCATCTCCATTTAGGTACGACCTGGCCTACGCCTACGGTTTCGGCGGGGTCAAAACGGCAGGTGTACCCGTGGTACTCGCTTATTTCGATGGAAAGAAAATTGCTACACACACGTGATAGTTTTTGGCAAATTTACAGCCTTGCAATTACCGTCAGTTAGGTCGGCACGATAATATCTGCGCTTTGAGGCTAGGTTTACAGGGGGAAGTTAATAAATTTTGTAATTAACACGAGGGAAATACGTAAAGTTAATAATCTTGATTTGATGATGGTAAGTGTTATTATTAATAAAATAGTTTGTTTTATTTATGTTGTTTTATTTATTCCTGCGGAATATTACAAATTTGTATTTGTACATAAGTTATATTGATAAATATAATGATAAATGCGGGAAGTTTCATAAAGCTTGAAAGTAAGAAATAGTTCTTTTTTATATTTTTTGGTATGTGGTGTCTTGTTTTCGTTTGTTTTGTATTAACACATACCGTTTTTTATTAAATAAAATAACTCGATTACATTTCTTCAGTATTAAACAGTTTTTTTCACAATATTTTGAAGTTACTTGTCAGTCAAATTTTAAATACATATATTAATTTCCTGCTATGCGTTCCAGTTGTACCAACTTATTTCTTTGTAAAATAAAATAAACTACTTTGAAATTAAAATGACAGACACATCTATCACACTCAAGGATCTTCTCGTTGGACAGACTATATGTCCTCTTGTGCTGTGGACATACTGTTGTTTGTTTGTCATTGCCAGATGAAGTGTGTTTTTTTATACAACTTCTCTATTTTTTGAATAATACTATCTACTTAAAATAATTAGTGGAAGTACGACTGGGAACCATGTAGTTGGGGATACAGACCGTGGTAGCAGAAAAATAATGAAAAATTTCACGTCTCCAGGACACTCAACAGTTTTAAAAAAAATTCAGATATCAAAACTAGATTTTTCACATGTAGGTGTACTATTTATTATGATTTTTTTATCCATTTTTAAGTATACTAGTTTTTCGGTAAGTTTCTTGCAAAAACCATAGCAGTTTTATTTCTTTGTTTGCCAAAATTCGAAAAAACGAACAAAGTGTATCTAGAAAGTCTGCTCCTCAAATGTGTGGTTGTTTGTATTAGGCAATTATAAGACATTTGCAAGGAGCTATTAGCAAGGTTCATTCCAAGTTATTGAAGTTTTTGGAAAAAAATACGATAAAAGAATGTTTTCCAAAAATCACAAAAGATATAAAGGTTGCAGTGAAATCGGTTAAAGCCATATCATAAAATCTGTCGATGATGAAAGTTCCTAATTTATTATGCCATGGTAGGTTCCTGTTTTAACATAATCAGATCGGTTACCAAAATTGATATGATCGAACCGCTTTTCCTTATCCTTTTTATGTTTGTTTTTTTTTGTGGGCGCCATCATTGGCTATTAATTAAATCTTGTCGTTATCCATCTTCGAAGTTCCGTTGCCACACACGACGACTGTCAACAATAATCGATTGAGATTAAAAATAATGTAAGGCGAAGTGTTGACTTAACGTAAAACTGATATAAGTAGTTTAATTTCGTGTAGGGTTACCATTATACCGGATGCATCAGTACCTGCGTGCTCTTAATTCTTAAAATTAAATAAAATTAATTTTGTGATATTTAAAGATCTTTAAATTTACATGCTACAATAGAATAGATTATTAATTATTAACACCCTGTATATTACTTTTCAGAATTAATTCTTGTGCTGAGTTTAAAGGTAAAGAAATAAACTTTACTCAAAAATGGTATTGCTTCCTTCAATTTATACAGGGGTATCAAAAATTACTGATCTATTTTAAGGATTTCTTTTACATAAAAACTTTGTTATTTAAAATGCAACACCCTGTATTTTTAAAACAAACCAAAGCAGATTCAAATGCTCTCTTGAGTTATAACTCATCATACAGTCTCAGGGCTTTGGCAAAAGCCAGTATCTGAGACGGTTTTTGCCAGCAAAAGCCAGTATCTCAAACTCTACCTGCAGATATTTCTACTAAATTAATTTTTGGGGTACTTTAGGTCATTGTCGACGTCGTTATCTTGATTTATTCTCTGCACATCTCGACATAATTAGCAGCGATCTCGGACAAGTCCTGTCGAGCTGGATTTCTCGTTTTGGTAAAGTTATCTGGAAGTGTACGGGAGGCCTGTTTTACAACAGCAAAAAATACGAGAAAGGTCAAATTACATCTACAGTCGTGTTTGTTTTGTATTTCAAATATAAAACTTCATTTTCGAAAAAAAAGTCCACAATTCCACAAGAAGTTTTTTTTCCTCTTAGGAAAGTGTCAGATTATAGAAGAATAAAATAAAAGTTGGCGTATGGCGTCATCAAAATATCTAACGAATGCTCGTCGCAATGTTGATATGGCTACTTTTTTACTAGATATTATTATATGGTGTCAAAATGAACTTCTTTTTTCTGTCAAATAAACTTCTTTTTTCACTAGCGAACATTCGTTCGTTCGTTCGTTCGTTCGTGCGGATAATGAATACGCACCTTTAGGCGGCAGCCAAGCAGCAGAATAAAAAAAACAAGGCTCAATACCACCAGCAAATAAAACGTTAGTTTTTTGGAACTCGTTTTGATTATTTGTCGTGTTACGCATGCGTAGTGAGTCTGTTGTCTTTCAAGCGAATCCCTGACTCCATTATGTAGCCCGAAAGGCGATCGAAAGAAATATATCTCGAATATATTGACGAGTACCTTAAAATCCTCCAGCTCGTAATTTATGCCAATGATATATTAGATAGTGATCAAAACACATCAGCCCTTTTTAATAGACATGTATTCGATGACATCTAAACTGTAATGGTAATAAGTACTACAAAATCGGTTAAATTTTGTAAAAAAACAAACATATTTTTGCGATTGTAGTTGTTCTAAAAATTAACCGTTTTATATTATGTGGTTTTAATCTTATCTGTACCTACAATAAATTAATATTATGATACTAGTAAGAAAATCGCATCAATTCAAGTCTTTCCAAAAATGACTTGAATTGAAATGAAATGATTTAAGTCAAATACTTAAAACTTAAACCATTTGAACTTTATGTTGAATTTGACTTTTTAACCTGGCTGGCTCTTTTTTAACCAGGATATAAGATTATAAAAAAGAAAGAAAAAACGAGCTCTAAGTTTCAAACGAATTTTGATTTATTAGAAATTTAATTTGGTAATAGTTTCGATCTCTTCGCTGACGTACAACTTTAACGGCAATTTTAAACACACACATCTATAAATAAGACTATATCCACTGATGTGTGTTGCTTAATGCGATTTAAAACTGAGAGACTCTCTCGACATAGTGAACGGATTATTTGTTTCCTGCGAAATGTTGGCCATTTGCGTTTGGCCAATAGTGAAGCCCGGTCTCGAACGCCTCCTAGCGGTAAATCGTGCGCTAAATATTCTTTCCTCTGCGGCTTTTGTATGATTTATTCATTTATGTCCTCCTAAATACGGAGATTTAATGCTTGGGCGATATTAAGAAGGGTACACGTAAAGAACTTGTTTATATCTTAAGCAACAGTTACATTAAATCAGAATTCGTACGAAGATTTGTTTGTATGAAGTTGCCAGAAAAAAAACAGCACTAGAAATATATATTATGTTTGAGAATAGCTCGGGATAATTTATTCTGTATGGTAATTAATTTATTTCAATTTATATTATCAGGGTTGTACTTACCGGGCATACAGACGCAACGGAACGTTCCAGGGTCGTCCAAACATGACCCGTCGTTGTGACAGGGATGGGATTCGCACTCGTTCACGTTGGTTTCGCATCGTGGTCCGGTGAATCCCTGGGTACAATTGCAGGCAAATGAACCAGGAGTGTTCACGCATATACCGTCGTGTTCGCAGGGTGAACCTAAAATAAAAAAAAACAGATGGATAAGTAATGTGAAGAAGAGATGTAGGTATAAGTAATGTGAAGGCATAATAAGTCGTTAAAAACAACAAACTGTTTCTTGTTTATCAACGCCATCTGTTTAAAACCCATTAAACTCAATTAAGAAATATTTTAAATAGCTATTTTTAATAGCGTGTTCTTTATTAATATCACATTCTTCTTTCGACAGCATAATATGTCGTGAATTGAATTATTAAATTGGTCTTGAACACGCTTTTTGTTTTGGCATATTCTGATATAGTATTATCAGTCTAGAGACCTAAAAAAAATAATGTGGTTTCGACAAATAAAAAAATATATACAGGGTGGGTCGTAAATAAGTGTAAATATTTTCAGGGCTGATAGATCTCGATAAAATAGACATATTTTCTCTTTGCCGTTTTTCTAATAAGTTTAAAATAACCGAGTTATTCTGAAGTCAAGCAAAAAAAATATTTCCTTTAAAAAAATGTTGAGAGCCACCGGATTTTTTCTGTACTAAGATTTGCATCCCTTTCAGTGCCGTAACCATAGAGTAAAGCCGTTACCATGGAAATAACAAGTTTAAGAAAAGTTCTACAAAGTTTTCTAAAATATACAGGAAAATTTGAAAGAAAATGCACTATACAGGGTGTGTCTTAAAAAACAGGATTTTTTTACAAGATGGTAGATCTGGACAAAAGAAACATATTTTTTATTTACTATTTTTAAAATAAATTGAAAATAACCGAGTTATTTAACTTTGACATTTTAAAATTAATAATGTTTACATTTTGACAACCGCTGGCATTATCTCATTGGACATCCTGTGTTGCCACATGGACAAGAAAGTATACACTTTACTTGATTTTAAAATACTTCCTTCGTAATATGACGAATTATTAAGAATTATTCCTCCAGTTTAGTTGAAAATAGCTGTAAAAATGTATGAATGTGTTAAGAAATAAGTATACAGGGCGATTTTTATAATTATTATAGTAAAACCATTGATATAATTAAAATTAAATCTCGTAATTTATTGTATAGAAATTTAAAAAATTACAATTATAAACACACAAGTATGCAGAACGTGGTTAATGCAGGAGGTAGCAACATTGCAAAGGTTCGATACATTGTCAAGAAATTTAGAGAGAATTTTCATCAGCGGCAATAAAACGTTTATTTTAATTTCCCGAAAAATTTCAGGGAAATGTATAATTTTTTATAATACCATTTTTTGAGAAAAAACTTATGAGCTGGTTTCTGAGATCGATACTAATTAAAATATTTGCAGTAATTTAAGATGCACTATGTGTAATTATTTGAAAATAACTAAAAAAATAGGGTTTCTTCGTTTTTACAGTAGTTTAACGTATAGCAAAGTGTAAACGAGCTTTAATACGGATTACGACAGAGGCAAATATCGTCAAGTAGCTCGCCGACAGCCTTCGAATTAGCGAAATGGCTTTCTCATGCCGTCGCCTGCGCCTCCCTACGGTCCAGACTTGGCTCAGCTTCACAATTGATCGCCAATCGACGCGGCTAATTGCAAGTGGGACCGGGTCTCTTTGACCCCGCTCGATCTCCGCAAATCGGACAATTAGACGTTAACGACAGCTGTAATTTCGATTTGTCACAATCAGTCGCTCGACTTATCGATTGATTAAGCTTTATTATTGTCTAATCTATCTGTTTTTTTCCTAATAGTTAAAAAATATTAATTAATTAATAATTTTCAATCTGTCACATTATCTATGTTTACATTTCCCTCACACGTTTCCCTCATTGATTTCTCTTGCTTCTGCTCTTTCTGCAGCTCCTTTAAGTATTGGCCGTACTGGTGAGGTCATCATCATCATCAATTTCAGCTTACTTAACAATCTCCATTACTTACATGCTTACAAACAATTAATTATGATGTAGCCTGCTAATTTGCTAATATCATAGTCTCATCTCAAGTTTGGTCTTCCTCTAGCTCTCTTCATTCTTCGTGGGTTGTCTGTTCTTCTTGCCAGATGTCCTACCCATTGCCACTCGAGGGATTTGATTATGTGGATGACATCTATTACCTGGGTCTTTTGTCGTATCCACTCTATTCTTTTACTACCTCTCTTGGTTATTCCCAGCATATTTCGTTCCATTGAGCGTTGTGCGATCTGCAGTTTCCTTATGATGTCCGTTTTAAGTGTCCAGGTTTCGCATGCATAGGTCATCACTGGTAGTACACAGTGGTTGTATATATATAAATATGATTAAGTTTCTTCCATTAGTACACCATGCTAACTTAATTTTTCTGTTGATTTCTGGTAGTACAGATCCTGACCTGTGTATTAGTTGTCTCAAATATATATTCTTCTACTATATTCCATCAGCTTTAAACCCCTATAAGTTTGTAATGACCCTGTTGTAGATCTGCTACAGATCAGCTGTCTTCGCCATCAGATCTATCGTAAATTTTGGCGCGTGTTCTAATATGAATTGATTCGCCTGTCAATTTTTCCACTGTTATGTGGCTATTTTTACATTTGCCTTTGCACTAGATCGTAGAAGAGTACTGGAACTATAAATTGATATCATTGACGAATGAGCTTGTCCATCTTATCAAGTATGAACTGATGCTATTTCCCTATAATGTCCGCTTTAAATGTCCAGGTTTCGCATGCATGGGTCATGACTGGTAGAATGGTCGAATTGGTCGAATATTCTCTTCTTTAGATAAAGTGGCATTCTAGATTTGAATATTGAGTTTCTTCCATAAGTACTACATGCTAATTTAATTCTTCTGTTAATTTCTGGTAGTAGAGATCCCGAGTTGTGTATTAGTTGCCCCAAATATATATATTCTTCTACTATTTCCAGTGTTTGGTTTGGTGTTATTTACTAGAATGTCTTTTCTATCGAGTTGAAAGCTCTTCGTTGTCATCACTTAAATCACAACATTTGATATCTCCACTCCTATTTGTTAATGTTAGTTACTAATTAGGAAGGTATTTTCCAGGAGGCCTTAGAGGACGTGGAAATGGGAGTGAAGGTAACTGGATAATTGGATTGTGGATTAATAATATCCGCTACGCACATGATACGGACTTACTCGCTGATAACATACACGATACTTTAAATGTGGTAGACAATGATTCAGTATTAAAACTAAAAGAATTTCGGCTTCCATTGTCTATTTTTTTTTGCTTACACATCGTTTCGGTCAGAAGTATCACTGAGTAATATCATGGTCCTATATCAAATTTGGTTTTTCTCTAGCTCTCTTGATTCTTCGTGGGTTGTCTAATATAGGTAATTAATTACCTATTATAATTAAAACTGTTTTAAGTTTAGGACTACTATAAGAAGTCTCCTAACAAAAACAAAATAGGAATCATCAAACCAAGAAAAAACAGAGCAAAGCAATGAACTCAAATATCAACACCAGATGGATGAAAATTTATGATAATTTAGAGAATCCCAAATATGTTTGAAAACTCCACCATAAATAACATTTAACAAAAGGTGCATTGAAAGAGTAGATATATCTAAGTAGTTGAGCATCTGGCTTTTTGAAGATTGGACACCAGTCAAGGATGTAGAATGCAAAAAGTTTAGGAGGGGAGTTAATCACCGCGATCTTACAGATCTATTGTGATCTTGACTTATAACGAGTTATAACTTATCATACAGTCTCAGGGTTTTAACAAAAGATAGTATTTTAGACGGCTCTACAGAGGCCAGCTCTCCATCCTCTACATCAGACGTATCAAAGTTCATGGCACGAACGGTCGTCGTCTCGGCGCACTCAGTAATAAGGTGTTCTGGTGTTTCCCCATTTTTCCCACAGAATCTGCATTCGCCGTTGTTTCTCAGCTTCAGCCTACTGAGTTGTTCGTTGAAAAGACAGTGTCTTGTTAGGAACCGCGTGATAATCCGAAGATTGTTTTTATTTAAATCAAGGAAAATCTTTGATTTTTCTCGGTCGTAACTTCTGAGAAACCTTTTCGAGTGTCTTAGGCCGTTGGAAGACACCCATTCCCATCAGACAAGGACATTAAATGCCGAATTGAACAAGCCTGAGAGGCATTCTTGAGCTTTCGAAGAGTAACTATATCTCTAGAGACAAGAAAAGAATCACAAAAGATATGAAAAGGTCGCAGTGGAACAGGCCAATACACCCCTCATAAAATATATCTGTCTATTACCAAATTTGCAGTCACTTTATACTGAAAATGGTCCTAATTCATTAAAGCAACTACTCTGAACTTCCTGCTTGTTATTTCCATTTTGTAGATCATAATTTTAATTAAGTTTCTTTAATACACATTATAATAATATGATGAAAATAAACTGACCACAATCTTTTCAAGTCCGATGGTTCTCCCTACCGGCGCGTATAATAACAATCCGTATCGCTATTTTTTCATATTATTGCTCCCGTCTTGATCGGCCACGGCTTCTCGGAAGCGCGTTTTTTTCCACGCTGCGGCATCTAAAACAACGTCTTTGTTCCCTCGATCTCTATTTGCTTAGAAGATTACTCCGGCTGCTGTGCGTGGCCAATCTCGCGCCTCCTATTCACGCTCCTCTGGCTTTGTGAATATGAAAAAATCGATTATTTCGCGTTTAGTGTCGGAGACAACGTCTTTCGGCTTGTTTGCATAACGAATCGAGGGAAGCAAAGACCTTTGCTCAGAGCGTGAAAAAGTCTGGTGGAACGTATCTTTTTCTCTGCAGTATCCACAGTATCCACTATTGGGTGACAGTACGAAACTTTGAATAACACTAGATTATATGAGGAGGCTATCGGCCTTTGCAGATCTATTCTGGTTTACTTCTGATCGTCGTATCATTTTCAAAAAGTCTAAAAACTTGAGACTAAACCTCCCATATACTCGTAGTTTTTTGCCAATAATTACTATATCATTATAATTGCCTAGTAGAAATGTGGGTACATTTGCCAGATTCATATGGTTTCGTTTGTTAGTCCCTTTGCTTTAACCCCCTATAAGTTTGTA